AAAAAATAAAATGGTTTAGTTTGATTTGAAAAAATTTCAAACCACATGAAATAGTTTGTGTTGAAAAAATAGCACAAACCGTCCAAACCAAATCGTGCTTACCCCTACTAGGAATAGGATTGGACTGTGATTAGAATATACTTAATTTATCTTGGAAAAAAGAACTAAATACATTAGTATTATCTATTGTCATGAAAGCATGAAGTTGACTAGATTACAAATCAAGAGTTAACATTAATGGCAATAAAGGGATTCACGATTCCAATACAAACATTCAAATATTAGATAAATATTTTATTTGCTTTTTTAATTTAGGATTAGTATACAATACATACAAAATAACTCTTTTGATTTTATATTATTTCGAATTTAATAGAAGCTATTGAACTAGATATTAGATTTTATTTCTCATGGGAATGATACTCTTAATTCACAAATCTTATCACTTGTACAATGATCTCGTATGCTTGCGAGTTTCACGCAAACAAGTTTTTGACGCCGTTGTCGGAGAATAATATTTTTAATTTTAGTTTAGTAGCTTATAGTAGATTCGATTTTTTTCACTTTATTTTTGTCTTTTTGATTTTGGCTACCCGCCCTGATCTCTCTTATCTGGTATTCTTTCCAGGTGTTATTTAGCAGTGTATGCAAGATTCTGGTGCTAGCATTGTAGAATTATTTTTTGCAATAATTAATCTTGACATGGACGATGAGGAAGAAGATATATATTGTGAGTTCTGCAATAGGTGTATTATACTAGTTACTACCTGTATACATGCACTGACCTGGGAAGGCTCAAGCTCCTGCCGTTTCAACAATATTTTTGATGTCGAAGATTAGCAGTTGACAATGTTAATGAAGACTACACACCTGTGCGTGAGTGTGTTCCTTTAGACTCGCTTGTGGGAGTTGGTCCTTCCATATTGAACGATGAGGTACTTGCAAATACTATACTGATCTTGCCAAGTTAAATGAAAACAAAATATGCATGGGAGATGGCATGTACTGGATCGAATTTAAAAGGTGGGTGTATAATCCACTTGAGAAATTTGAGCAAAAAGAGTTTCCATTTTCCGTGGATTTAAATTGTGAACCAACCATTCAACTTGAGGAGATATCAATTATGGGCGACGAGCACAAAGACGATAAAAGATCAGTTACAAAGGAACAAAGCGAAGAAGATGCAATTAATGAAAAAGAAATTAACATACATTCTTTTGACTTCGTTGATTGTCCAACCATTGAATTTGTAATCAGGCCCGAAGATGAGGAAGACGTTGCCTAGGTGATTTCGAATCGGATAAAATAAGCAAGTCAGATCACGTTGGAGGAGGCAATGTCAACATTTATAGAATCAACGAAGAGTGGAGCAAAGTCGAAAGAAGCAAAATGAGCAAGGCATCAAAAGCGCTATTCAAAATTCCATGATACTAATTGCCAAATTCAAGCTGAAGAATATAAATAAGAGCTTGTTGGGAGGCAATCCAATTTTTCTATACCTTTTATATATATTGCTTTCTAGTTATAGGATAATTTAGTTAATTTTTATGGTTTTAATTAGGGAATTATCATCCACATCCCATTTTCTTTAGGTTATTTGTTGGTTTATTGATGTTTGAGCCAAGTAACACTTGTTCCAGATCTTTTGTACCTTAATGCTCTAATTATCCGCATTGTGCAGGAACATGACGTCGTGAAGCACTTGAACCAACCATTATCAAGGAAATAATAGGAGATATTGAAAAGCTAGCCATTGAATTTTACGACATATCAGGGGAGTACGCTATTTCTTCATCTGTTTGATTCTTAACATGGTTAATCAAGTTTACGCTACCGTGTTCAGACAAATTACTTGATTCCTCTTTGACAATCCACTCCCAAAATTAGCAGTTGTTACTACAGCAAATGAATAATTTTCCTTTTTTGTCATTTTCCTTCTCCACTACAAAATATCTCTCAAATCTATGCTTACATCGTGTGCACCGACGTTTCCTTTTACAATTGGCAAAGAAGTGATATTTAGCTCTACAACTGAACATATTCCAGAGTTCCTTCCAAGCATTCTGAAATGGAAATCAACACAACATGGTCACAAAACTATTGGCCATATTGTTTCAAATGCATTTATTTAGGGTAAATTTGATGAACCATATACTCCATGATATGCATGAAGGTTGAAAGTAGTCGTGAATGGTGAATTAACCATGGCACAATGGTTGACCACAAATATCTTCTACAGAAAACTGAATCTATGGAGAGAGCCATACTCAACAATATATGAAATTAGGCAATGTATAACTTATTGATACCATGTAACTCTAATGTAACTCCTAAATACCAAGCTGGCTATAATAACATTTACAACCTGTAGCAGCAACCCATTGTCATTCAAAAGATCAAAAACACAACTCTGTTGAATGATGTTACCAAGAATACAAAAGTGAAAACACATAGACATCATATCACTATAGAATCTATAGGTTCAAACAAAAAGTATAAATGTGAAAAGAGTACACTTGTAGTGACCCATGTTTCTCTGTTTTCCCACGTTTGGGTTAAGCTTTTTAAACAGGTTTAAAAAACTTGAATAGCTTTCTTGAAGCTCCATTAACATAAACATAAAGGGAAGGAGTGTTGGGAGGGTAGGGTTGGGGGTGAGGAGTGGACTAAACACAAGGTACGATGCGATGTACCTTCGACGACAGCTACAATCGGAGATGCACATGGGGGAGAGAGAGAGGAGTTTAACGGCGAAACCCTCTAGCAACGTCAAGGGTGATGTAAACCTACATGGAATTGTGGCCAGAGATGGAAAGATTTGCTTCGAAGATGGCAATATTTGCTTAAGGTTTCGAAGTTGGGGGAATAGTTTCGGGGTTCTGTTCGTTTTCGTGGAGAGAGAGCACGATCCACTCATTTGTTGTGTTTTTGAGTCCCTTTGTTTATTCAACAATTTTTTAAAGCCAAATAGCCAATTCCATGTCACCTTGTATTTTACCCTGTCCGTGAGCCTGTGTGAGTAGCACGATTGGTTTATGTTTTGTACGTCAGACTTTCAGAAATTAGGTTTATCAATTTCTCCATTTTCATATAATAAAAAGATCAAATAAATTTAAATTATCTTTAATGTGAATTGTGGAATAGAACATGCTTTATTATTTAAATACTAATAAATGTATGAAATTAATGAAATTATTTTAATAGATACGTGAAAAAGTTTAAAGAAAAATTTGAAAACCATTATTTTGCTGCTTCTCAAAAAAAATTATACAAAATTTTCTGTAATTATTATTATTTAAATATACTAAACGCTTAAAATAATTTCCAATTCTTTGACCACAAGTTGGGCTTCAAAATTAATCCCAGACAAGAGAGAATTAATGAATTATATGCAAATCTTTGACCTTGTATATCGAGCCATCAACAGGGACAGACTCACATGGGGTCATGTGGGGTCAAATGACCCCACAAAATTTGCCCCAGTTCTTTTTTTTAACCCTTTACGATTTACTTTGATACACTCGTTACGAGATACCAAATGAAGTTGAAATATTATATTTTTAATATCATTTCGAAGTGCTTATGACCTAATTTTTTACTCATTAATGGCGTGCGAAGTGGTCAATTATAGCAAAAGTTACGGCGTGTCAAAGTAGACTGTTTGAAATTAGTATTTTGAGAATTTCGATAATATCTGAACTTATAAAATTTGTCGGCAATCATATGCTATCCGAATTCACAAATCGTCTATATCATGTAAAAGCTCGTTTCGAAAACTCTATCATTGTCATATCGAGTGGTTCAAACGAATATCGAAAATAGTTAAATATGTGTCAAACATACGTCTAAAAAAAGACGTCTAACTCATTTTTTTCTCTTAAAAAATTCAATTATTTCATTAATATTTATTATTTTTGCACGATAATTTTTTTAATATAATTTATATTATTTTATTAGAAAATTTTACATAGAATATGACATAAAATTTTTTAGGATCGTTACAAATTAAATGTAATTTAAATTAATTTCAAATTACATTTTCTTTAAATTTGAATTTCATGGATTAAACTTAAAATTTATTTCAATTCATTTACGAAATGGTAAACAAAACTATACAAATAACAAAATTTATTAATAATATTGATAATGATGTAATTATACGACATTTTTATAGTATCAAAATTTGTATTAACTCATTTCCATTAATATTATGTTGTTTTTAAAAAAATTATATTTAAATTTTTGATCCGACAATAGTAAAAGTCTGGGTCCGCCTCTGGCCATCACCATTATATTTAAAGAAAGCTTCGCATAAGATCAGCTAATTTGAGAATAACGTTAATTATCAAGAGTTTATGCTGTGTTTGGTTTGCATTTTCGTTCTCTATTTTGAATTCATTTTCCATTTTCTATTTTAAAGGATTATTTTAAGATTGCACAAAATGCATTTTGTTTGTTATTCTAAAAAACAATTTTTTTTAAAAATTTTAGAACTAGTTCTATGATTTTTATTTCAATTAATTTCATTATTTAGTAAAACATATCAATTTTATACTATATGTGATAAAAAAATAAAAAAATTAAAGTTGGTAAAGATAAGAATAATTGTAACATTGAGAGACAGCACCAGAGAGATGAATTCTCCACTATGGTTCTTGGAAGAGCTGGGGCGAAAGAGACAAAGATGAGTATTTGTATTTTAGTATGTTTCATGTGATTTTATTAATTATTTTTCTTGTTTTGAGTTTTTTTTGAATGTTTTAAAAATACTCAAAACGTTAAAAAGTCATTTTGAATTATATGTTGCAAAATTTTCCTTGTTTTGTAAAACTCATTTTTGAAAATATCATATCAAACACGTTTTTATTTTTTAATTTTGAGTGTTATAAAAAACTAAAACCTAAAAATGTGACAAATTAAACCCACTCTTGACTTTGACAAATCAATTTTAGTAAAATTAAAAATCAAAATTTCTCAATAAATTTTTCATAAAGAAATCGTCACATCTCAGAGACACCACGGTACAAATTAGTGAATCTGATTGATTCATACCCTACTGGGCATTGATATATGCACCAAAACAGGCAGCATTTTCTCTTCCCCAAGAAAAGAACAAAAAGGGCCAAATCTTGAGCTATTCGAGGAGCTCTCGTTGAGCCTATCTAGAGATCGCGAACCGCTCCGTGTTCGTGGATCGATTCATCCATCCAGCTATCGTTTGGATTCTTAGATTCTGCTGTTTGGAATTCCCAATCGGATCCTATTAGGAAAAATGTTCTTGGTGGATTGGTTCTATGGAGTCCTAGCTTCACTAGGGCTGTGGCAAAAAGAGGCCAAAATCCTCTTCTTAGGTCTCGATAATGCCGGCAAGACCACCCTCCTTCATATGCTCAAAGACGAGGTTCCTTCCTTATTTTTTACTGGCTTAGTTTCACACACACGTTTATCGTATTACGGCTTTATATATGTTAGAGTCCATGTCCCTGTTAAATGAATTTTGTGGATCATTTGGTTGTTATTTATTAAATTGTCGATTTGTGAATTGACTTCAGAATAAATCAGTTGTTTGTCATTTTGTAGATTTTTTTTCGGCATGCTATTTATTGACACTTCTGTTTCTGAATAAGTTTATTTCGCGTTTGATAACAAATTCGATTTTTTTTGTTATATATGAAATTGATTAAATCAATGAAATCTAAGTCTAATATAGGGCTTTGTTCTTTATGTTTTCTCTTGTTTTCGGATTGACATCATCAAGTAATACTTTGTCTAATGTATGCATCAGTAACAACAATTATAAAACAGCTGTGACTAGTTATGGGATTTTTGTTCTAATTTTACTTTTTATTCCTGTGAATAGAATGAGTATAAATATTTTATTTGGTATCGTTTAGATATTTATTTTTCCTTGTTCTGTGGAGAGATTTATTTCCTTACTGAGTCAAGAAGTGAATTAAATTATGTAACTGGAGTTTTTTGATTATAAGCTTAATGTGTACCTGATACTGTTAAATTATTGGAAATGAGCAGAGATTGGTGCAGCACCAGCCTACACAGTATCCAACATCAGAGGAGTTGAGCATTGGAAAAATTAAGTTTAAGGCTTTTGATTTGGGAGGCCATCAGATTGCACGAAGAGTTTGGAAAGATTATTATGCCAAGGTATTAAATTTTGTCAACATGTTGTGTTTGATTGTTATAGATCTTCAGTAACCACTGTTCATGTACAAAAATTTCCTTCCCCTGCCCCATAACCAAGAAAAGAAAAGAATTTACCCGGACAATTTTAATTTAAGAGTGAAAATTTCTGAATTAAAGAATTGAATGTGCCACACATTTATTCTGATACAAAGAGGTCATTATATACAAGAGGGCTGAGTGATTTCTGCCCTTATTTCTAGCAATTCAGCTAATTCTTAGGCTGTAATTAGCAGAGAAATCAAGGTGCATAATTCCTGATTTTACTCAATCAACTAATTAAGGAAAAAACAAAATACGGAAAGATTGAATTTAGGAAAACAGTAGCTGTACAACAGCTATATTACTAGTGGATTTTCAACACTTCCCCTTAAGCTGGGCAGTAGATGTTAATCATACATAGCTTGGCGTTTAAATCTTCAAAGTTGGACTTAGGCAAGGCCTTAGTCAGAATGTCAGCTATTTGGTGTTTTGTTGGTGTGTATTGCAGCAGAATTATCACATCTTCTATCTTTTCTTTGATGAAATGATGATCTATCTCAACATGCTTAGTCCTGTCGTGATGAACAGGGTTCTTAGCTATGCTTATTGTAGCTTGATTGTCACAGTACATGTGTAATGGCTCTTCGTCTTGAATTCTGAGTTCCTTCAGTAATCTTTTAAGCCACATTCCCTCGCAAATTCCACGTGTCATAGCTTTGAATTCGGCTTTTGCACTGCTCCTTGAAATCACAATTTGTTTCTTATTTCTCCAAGTGACCAAATTTCCCCATACGAAGGTGCAATACCCTGACGTGGATCTTCGATCAGTAATCGAGCTTGCCCAATTTGCGTTGGTGAAGATTTCTAAGCTCCTCTTTGCATTCTTCTTGAAGTACAGACCTTTGCCTAGAGTCATCTTAAGATACCTAAGAATTCGGTAGACTGCTGCCATATGCTCTTCCATAGGATTGTTCATGAATTGGCTCACAACGCTAACTGAGAAACCAATGTCAGGTCTAGTGTGTGAGAGATAGATAAGCTTTCCGATGAGTCGTTGATATCTCCCTTTGTCAACTGGTGTCATGTTCTTCCCATTTCCTAGTTTTATATTCAGATCCTTGGGCGTATCTGCGGGTTTGCATCCGAGCATTCTTGTTTCTTTTAGGAGATCCAGAACGTACTTTCGCTGAGAGACTGATATGCCATCTTTTGTTCGAGATACTTCCATCCCCAGAAAATATCTGAGTTTCCCTAGGTCTTTGATCTCAAACTCTTTCTCAAGAAAGTTCTTCAGTCTATCCATTTCTTCAAAAAAATCCCCTGTGAGAATGATGTCATCTACATAGACAATGAGAGTGGATGATTTTCCTTGAGTTGATCATTTGATAAACAGGGTATGATCTGATTGACATTGCAAATAGCCAAATTTCTTCATTGCCCTAGAGAAACGATCAAACCAGGCGCGAAGAGATCGTTTTAACCCGTATAATGACTTCCTGAGCCTACAGACTTTATTATTTATAGCTTGATTTTCTAGCCCAGCAGGAATCTCCATGTACATTTCTTCTTCAAGGTCTCCATTAAGGAAGACATTCTTGATATCAAGTTGAAATAATGGCCAATCTAAATTGGCTGCAAGGGATAGGAGCACTCTCATAGTGTTGAGTTTAGCAACTGGGGCAAACGTCTCGTGATAATCAATACCATAGGATTGTGTGAATCCCTTTGCTACTAGTCGGGCTTTGAATCTTTCTACACTTCCATCAGCTTTATGTTTTACAGTGAATATCCATTTGCAGCCCACTGGTCGTTTTCCTTATGGCAAGTCCACTATCTCCCATATATTGTTCTTCTCTAAGGCCCGAATGTCTTCCATAATGGCAGCCTTCCAGTGTGGTATCTCCAGGGCTTCATGAATGTTGTTGGGAACCTGTATCTTGGTCAAGATTGGAGACAAATACACTATATTCTGGAGATAATCTTCTGTAAGATAAGTAGGTATAAATAGGATGATTTGTGCAAGATCTCACTCCTTTTCTTAAGGCAATGGGCCGACTATCAGGTGACTCATGAGGAGAAGAGTCTGAATGAGAGTTATCTTGTGATGTTTCAGATGAACTTGGAGTTGGTTCAGACTCATGGAGTTGCTCAGGAAGTGCTCGTTGTGCCGTCTCCTTTTGGTGCCAATTTCCCTTGGAGTAAACACGAAGCTCACTATTTTTGGCAGAAGGGTCGGGAGGATTTTGAGGTAGAGTTTTGACAGGAGATTCAGGAGACTCGATGACAAGATTTGGAGATTCATCGACATCGTACGAAATTTGAGATTGACTTTCGACAGGAGAAGGTGGTTGTCGGTTTTTAATGATATTCCAAGACTGATGTTCTTTTGATGTACTCTCCCCCTGAACATTGGTTTTGGTGTAATAGGGTTGTTCCTCAAAGAAAGTAACATCTAATGAGTTATAGAATCTTCTTATGATAGGAGAGTAACATTTGTACCCTTTTTGACTTGGTGAGTACCCAAGGAAAATGCATTTGATTGCTTTGGGATCAAGTTTGCTCCTGTTATGAGGATATACATGAACAAAGGCTGAACATCCAAATATTTTTGGTGGAATGGTGGAGATTATGCGATGTTCTGGATGTGTTATAAGAAGAATTTGACTTGGAGTTTGGAATTTTAGGACACGAGATGGCATTCTATTGATAAGATAGGCTGCCGTAAGGACAGCTTCTCCCCAGAAGTGTTTTGGGACATGAGTAGTGAACGTCAACGACCTAACAACTTCAAGGAGGTGCCTATTCTTTCTTTCAACAATCCCATTTTGTTCATGGGAATCAACACAAGAACTCTGGTGAATTATGCCCTGGCTATTCAAATAATCACTCAAAACAGATTTAAAATATTCTTTTGCATTATCTATTTTGAAAAATTGGATTTGTGTTTTGAATTGATTTTGGATCATGGCATTGAAATTTTTGAAAATTTGCCCTACTTCAGATTTTTCTTTCATGAGAAATATCCAAGTAATTCTTGTGTGATCATCAACAAAAGATACAAACCATCGTGCCCCAGTGATATTTTTGATATTAGATGGTCCCCAGATATCACTATGAATCATTGAGAAAGGATGTGTTACTTTATATGAACGACTAGGATAAGAATTACAAATATGTTTTGAAAACTGACACACTTCACACTGAAGATTCATTCCTCTTTTATTTCTGAATAATGAAGGAAACATTTTTTCAAGATAAAAGAAATTAGGATGTCTTAGTCGATAGTGTAATAACATAATCTCACTATCCTTATTTGTGGAAAAACAATTTTTGTGAAACTGACTCAAAGAGACTGCCTTGTGAGTTTGTTCCTCCAAAGGATGGTCATCCTTGAGGAGATAAGAGTCCTGAGTACACCTCAGCACTGCCAATCATCTTCCCTGAATCCGAGTCCTGAAATGCACAAAAATTTTGGAAAAATTGAGCTACACAATTCTTATCCCGGGTGAGTTTACCGATTGACGGTAGATTACAATTAAGGTTTGGTACAGGTAAGACAGAATGAAGTGACAGTCTTAGAAATTGTAACCGAACCATAGCCTTCTACTTTTGAAATAGACCCATCTGCAATCATGTCCGAGTAATTTTCTTTGTAAGGTTTAAACTCAGTAAGTAGAGTCTTATCATCCATCATGTGATCTAATGCTCCCGTGTCAATAATCCAAATATTGTTTCTTTCCCTGTAAACATTTAAGGCTTTTGAGAAATTACCTTTCTGAGCCAGGGATCCCGCAGCAACAGTGGAAGAGCTAATGGATTGGCTAATCATCTTCTGTAGAAGTTCAAGTTGCTCTTTGTTAAAGAGAACTGGTTCAGAAGTGCCATTTTTGATTAGTTGAGGATGTGGCATTGCCGCGACTTTCATGAGATAAGCGTGAGGGCTTCCAATCGGCTGGTTTCCCATGGAGCTTCCAACATGCTTCTCTGGTATGCCCTGGTTTTCGGCAATGATCACATCAGGGCCTCCCCTTTTTTATCCTGCTATCTGGGTTACTTGGTTGAGGGCCGCGTATGGCTAGGGCTATTCCTTCTGTTGTGGGCTGATTGTTTGGAGTTCCCAACATCACCTTTTTTCGGCTTTCTTCTCTTCTTACCTCCGAGAAGGCTTCTCTTAGACTTGGTAGAGGCTTTGTGCCCAAAATCCTTCCACGTACCTCATCCAAATCTTTGTTAAGTCCGATTAGAAACTTGAGCACCCGTTTTTTTCTCAATGATCCGCCTATACTGACTTCCATCAGTTGGACTTTCCCAAGTGTGCTCTTCAAACATATCTAACTGCTGCCAATAACGAGTTAGATTATTATAGTATTGGGTAATAGAAGATTCGCCTTGTCGGAGATCATGAAGGATCGTCTCCACTCCAAACAATTTGGCGGTATTTTCATTATTGGAGTAAGTTTCTTTTATAGCATTCCAAATCTCCTTGGCAGTACCATATAGAAGGAAAATTTCACCTATATCATTGATCATGGAATTGATCAATCAGGACATAACCATGCTGTCCTCGGCTTTCCATGATCTATATTTGGGGTCTTTCTCTCCTGGTGAGGTCGAGAGACCTGTGAGATTATCATCCATGCCTTTTCCTCGGACAAACATGAGAATGGATTGAGACCACTGCAAGAAATTGTGCCCATTCAGCTTGTGATTTGTGATTGAAATAACACCGCTGCTATCTCCACTGTTTCGAGTCACTGGAATTTCCTGACTGGAGTTGGAGCTTTCTCGTTCGATTGTCATACCATATTTCGTCATAGAGAATGATCACGAGATGACAGTGATGAAAGAAGGAAAAAAAGATGAATAGAGCGAGGAAAAAATTGAGAGAATAGGCTGGAGAGGGATGATTAGTTCAGAGAACCTGGCTCTGATACCATGAAAATTTTTGAATTGAAGAATTGAATCTGCCACACATTTATTCTGATACAAAGAGGTCATTATATACAAGAGGGCTGAGTGATTTCTGCCCTTATTTTTAGCAACTCAGCTAATTCTTAGGCTATAATTAGCAGAGAAAATCAAGGTACATAATTCCTGATTTTATTCAATCAACTGATTAAGGAAAAAACAAAATACGGAAAGATTGAATCTAGGAAAACAGTAGCTGTACAACAGCTATATTACTAGTGGATTTTCAACAAAGAGTTATTGAACTCCTGGATTTTTGACCTTTTGACACTTTGTTGCTGGTGAATTTCAATCACTACCCTGACATTCTACTCCTTTTCGTTTTTTGATTTTGTGCTGTGTTTGTCGAAATTGATTCTTTCAGTCACGCTTCTCTACAGAAAGGTAAATGTTCGATCATTTTTGTAATATGGTAATTGCACGCTCAATTTTCATGCATCAGTTTCACTATTTCCTAAAAATCTCTAATTACAGGCAAATGTGTTTATTCTGTGGTGTTTAAGCATTAGAATTTGGCAATGATTTTTCTGTCATAAACTCTTGCCGAATTTATGTTTCCCCCTTTATTTGGAATCTTTACATGAACCATATGAAGTCGTTCTTCGTTGTTGGTGGATATTGTGAGGTTTCCACTACAAAGCTTGTGGATAGTAATTCAGAAGGCGAGTTCTTATTCTCTATTGTAGCTTTTTCTGGAAGAATTCACCCTGACATATAGTTATGTATCGTAGACATGAGTAACAGTAAACTTCTAACTGGAATGTGCTCTGCCCGACAGAGTGCATATTCAATTTTTCTTGCGTGATCTTTTAAAACGTTAGACATTACATGTTTTCACTCTTTTATCATGTTTGATAAAATGGTTAGGTAACATTGGATTTATTATTTTGAAAGAATAAAAAGCTACAAACTCGTTGATTATTTGTTGAGTCATGTTTAATACTATGCCCTTTTTTGGTGGGTATTAAAATAAGATTTTTTGTAAATTTTGATAAAAATTGATGAAATGTGTGATTGAAAAATTGTGGATTTTATAAAATATATAATTAAAATTTATTATTGATTTTAACTTAAATTAAAATTTTAATTTTAATTTGTACCAAGCAGGGGCTATATATCAAATATTCATTTCATGTACACCATCATGCATCACCCGTCACATGGATAGTAATATCTCAAGCTCTTTTACTTCTTCTCATGTTATTCATTAGGATATCGAAATGATTAGCTTTGGACAACTTTTTATATAATCTCTCACGTAGTACTTTATATTATTTTATAGGGAAAATTGCAACAATGGTTCTTAACCTTTCACTTTTTTGTAGATTTTACCTTAATTTTCACTTTGTACTACCCACAGTCCCAAACCTTTTAAAAATATGCATCTGAGGTTCAAATGGATGGTTTACCATTAGTTGATAAAAAAAGTCAAAATTTATTTAATTTTGACTTAAAAATGTCAAAATGGTACTTTTGCTATTAATTCCCATTTATCCCTCATAATAATTAATTAAAACAAAATAAGAATAAAATACAATTATAATATATTTCAAAATATAAACCAGCATCACCCTTCCTCCTTTCCCAACCCACCCACATTATGATCGTCATCGTCATTGCCATCACCCACACAATGTCGGCACCTCCATACCTAGTATGACTCCCCACCCCCACATCCGGCTCCACCACCTGTCAACATCTACGGGAAAATCCCAAAATTACCTAACCCCAAGTTGAGAAGTAAGTTTTGAAATAGGGATAAAATCTTCATCTAAACTAAAATCTCAATCCTCAAATACAAAACCAGGCGGTAATGGAGTCGAGCCTTTTGTAGAGATCAAGAATTGATTTTGAATCGTATGGAGAGGTAATGGAGACAGTGTTGGTCTAGGTGGTCATTTCTAGATCTGGGTTCTTGTTATTTGGGGTAGATGTTCTGTGTACCAAGTACATTGACTGTGTTTCTACATTCCTCCTGCGTTAATTGATGGTTGGTGGCAGTGGTTATGGCAACGACGATGGTGGGTTATTTGCATCTACTGAAAGCGTTCCAAATGAAAAATCAGTGCGGCAACGTGTTGGTGACTAGGTGATTTGATTTTTAGTTTTGATTTGGGTGGGGTAGGATTTGATTTTTTGTTTCAAATTGACGGTGGTGGGCGTGAGCGATGATTTTTCTTGGAATGATTTTCGAGTGTGGGGATGAGTTTTCTTGGTTTGATTTTCGAATGTGCTGTGGGCTGGAAGGTGACAATGGTGAGTGGAAGCGTTGGGGTGGTAGTGGTGGCAATTTCTAATAAGGTATCGCCTGAGAAGAAGAATTGCTATACCGTTTTGATTTGGGGATTGTGTGGGGGCGTGGGGGTGGGGTGGGTTTATATATTTATATTTATTTATATTTTTTGGATTTTTTAATTTTATTTTTTAACATATTTAATATGAGTAAATACAAAGTACCATTTTACCCTTTCTAAATTTGTCAAAATTAATTAAATTTCGACTTTTTAGGTCAACTATCAGTCGAAAGTTTGAGACTGTGGATGATACAAAATGAATGTTAGAGTAAAGTTTGCAAAAAAAAAAAAAACGATTAGGGACCGTTGTTGCATTTTTCCCTATTTTATATAAGATCTAATGTTAAGAAGAACATAAAATTAAATTTTTGACAAGCACGAAATATTTTACACTATAAAAACTACTACCTCCATCCCACAAAGATAGGTTTGGTTTCCTTTTTAATTTGTCCCAAGTTATATGTCACTTTCCTTAACTAAAGTATAGGTATTTTTTAGTTTTTTAATATGCCCCTGTTTAATGTACTTTGTTATCAACAAGTATAAATTGATCATATTTAAACTATTATTTAATGTAGGGGTATTTTAGGAAAAATGTAAGAAAAATTTATATTTTCTTAATCTTCGTGAAAATAGAAACAGGCCTATCTTTATGGGATGGAGGTAGTATATATTTTTAACTCCAACCTTGTTACTTAGTCTTTGACATTTCTTTAATCTGTTTTCTTGGTAAATGGCTCTTATAGCCTCTAGAATTCAATACAATTAAAGCAACTCGCAGAAAATATTAAGTCTTCAAATTTGCAGAAAATTCAATGTTATTAGGTAAGTGATGTGACAAAGCTACTTTTCATGATCTCGTAGGTGTCATTGTCAACTATTTTGTGATTGCAGTTTTGTAAAATTATGACAAGATTATATTTCTGCACTTAATTGTTGTAAAACAAATCTCAGAACATTCAGGGAAAATTTGAACTAAGGAGCTGTGAAAACATATTATCTGTTCTGCATTCTTATCAGCATTCTGTTTTTGTTTTGGGCAACAGTGTTATGAGCCACACTGTCGTGAGGGAAAAAGAATGAGTACTCGAGTCACTAATTTGGAAGATCTCTTGACAACTTGAACTGCACAAGAAATAAATGATTACACGATTGTTGAATTCTCTTGGTGATGATGTGATAGCACATTATATGAAAGGTCCTTAAAAAGATCATTTGAAATCTGAAGTCACACTATTCAATGCGCAGACACTAGCTCCATGCTTTTCCAAGAAGGAAATTCTCTTGCACAAGACAGCATATTCTAATATTTTATTTTCCTCTTTTTATTTTTTTAGTCATTTACGGGCATCGAATAAATGACTTGGACCCCAGGCCTCTCCTCCTCGTGTTGTGGGGAAATAGGAAGAAAAACCAAAAAGTGGCGTAATTAACAAAAAGGTTCGGTACCATGGTATTACGCTCTTTAATTTGTCAGTGACTTTGGGTGCACTTAAATTGTTTTATTATTTTCCTCTTCTATTTCCTTTTTGTGAGAGTAAGTTTACTAGTGGCTATCATTTGTACTGTGAAGCTTTTTTAACTGCATTGCACTAGATGTCATAGCATTATATGGTATTCTTCAAGATTTATGTTCTCTTTCCGATGCCTAATATAGTAATATGCTACTTCTTGGGTGTAAAGGTGGATGCAGTTGTTTACTTGGTGGATGCTTATGACAAGGAGAGGTTTGCGGAATCAAAGAAAGAACTGGATGCTCTCCTTTCTGACGAGTCGTTGGCTACTGTTCCCTTCTTGATTTTGGGCAATAAGATCGACATCCCTTATGCTGCCTCTGAAGACGAATTGCGTTACCACATGGGGTTGACAGGTATCACTACTGGCAAGGGGAAGGTAAACCTTGCAGATTCAAATGTCCGTCCACTTGAGGTTTTCATGTGTAGCATTGTCCGCAAAATGGGCTATGGAGACGGCTTCAAATGGGTCTCTCAGTACATCAAGTAATTGGCATAGGAAGCTACATATTTTGGATGTTTTCGGATTATAATCTTGTGTTATAATGGACCTGTGCCGGAAATGTTGTCTTATTTGAATTTGTTGGATATTTACCCCTTATATTTTTGGTGAAATGATGAAACAGCCTTTTTACAGTATCATTTATTGTTGAGGCATTGATTGTGTTCTCTCTTGATATTAAGGAAAATAATTATTTCTGGCGAAAGGATATGCCTATTTTTATTTCTTTTTAGAATGGATAATTCAACATGCACATTATGGTATTCATAAGGGTGTTCATAATGTACATGTGAAATTTTATGATTGGAGGGTTGAAAAAATTGTTTTTCAACTCTCCAATGATTATGTCATTCGTAAATTATGGACACCATAATGTACTTGTAGCATAACCCTTTTAGAATTATCAGTTTTAGAAACGGATTATTCCCCTTGTACATTGATGGTGTCAAAAGGATGTCCATAATGGACACTCGTCACCCTCCTATGGGAGAGGCGTCAGTGGGGCCCAGGCGCCTCTCCAATAGGGGCTGCCGGGTGTCCATTATGAATACCCTTATGGCACCACCAATGTACTCATAGCATAAGCCGATAGAAACTGGCTTGGTTATTAACCCGAATATGTAGTAGATTATTTTTTCTACCTTTTACGTATAATGGGATTGGTTCTCGCCTATTTTCCAGTTATTCTGACGATCAGGTTCTGACAGTATTGGTTTTGCATCTTGAACCTCGTTACTTGTCTCCCACTCATCTTTCTAGGATGACATTGTGCCAGTGCCTTTGGCAAAGAATTTTGTATGCTCTGAATAAAATGAGAAAATATTCATCTACAGACTTTTTCAAATTTTTCTTGGCCGTTTTCCATTTCAAATTTTAATATACACTACGAAACAATACTATTAGTATAGATTAAATAACTTAGTTTATTGATCGTTGTACAGAATTCAATGTTATCATATATTGATATACGTTAGCCTCTACTTTGCAGGGTTGGTTCTGATGACAAAAAAATCTTTTAAAGAACTGGCACTGGCAGGGCTATCCTTTCCTGTAACCACTCTGGTGTGAGAATTAATAGGAGATGATGATTAAATATTAATCATGAAAATAGTAATGTATTTGACTTTGAGGGCAAAAGCTGAGGGGCCAATTCCTTATCTGAGAGGACTCGTCTCTATTTATAGTAGCTATTTCGGAGGACAGTATCATACCTTGATACCAGGGGTTAAATGTAAGAACGTGGTCACTTGAACAAAATATGTCGACCTAACATGGGGACACGATTATAACTTCATCAAAAGTGGTGGGTGAAAATTTCATGAAGCCATGAAAATTAAGTACAAGCTCGCTTGTCTATTAGTGTCCTATTGTGTGGGCGAGCATCCGGACGGCCATTAGAGTACTTGGGACCAGTTGATGGGCTCTACACCACAAAGATTACGGTGACTACCAATATGCATATAGCTCACATGTTTCTTTTGATACCTGATAGGATAGCGACTGCTACTTCTACAATCATCATAGTTTAAATATCTCATGTGGTCATTTGGATAAGAACAAATACACGTATGCCCTAGACGAATTGCATTGACATAGAGACAGCGGTATACTCCTTCACCACCTATTAGATTAGGTCGACTTTATGGTAGTTGGCTAGGTGGATTTATGCTCAACTATAAAGGGAGGACGCTCCTCTAATTTATTTCATCCTTTCTATCATCATATATATCGAATTTATTTAGATTATTAATTACTCTATTGTGCACAAAAGCAATGTCTTCATTTTCTAATTCTTTTTCTAAAGGTTTTGGGGTTATAGAGTATACACTTGAGTTTTTGCGTTCATATTTCTTTCTTATAATTTTGAAACGTGAACTAGATATGATATCTTTCTTGGTGTGATAGTTAAATGCAAACCCTGGCGTGTGGCTTTAGAAATTTGAACAATGTAAGAATGTGAATGATTGGTTACGAAATTTGTGAAAATTCATTGGGAAGCATTTTGCAGCAAATCAATATGATTTATAGCTGTTCCATATTTGGCAATAACTAAAAAGCCACAAAATGAAAACGTCCTCCCATAAGGATTATTATTATTATTATTATTTTGTAAAAAATAAATGTAAGTTTATTCCTTCATTTCATTAAGCATTCCACCAAAAATTTCACACATTTTCATTTGACAAACTTGTAAGGAACTATGTTAATCTTTAATAAATCATGTTCAATGGAGAAAACAACCAATTTATTCAATATTTATGATCACAAATACAATTTTATCAACCTCAACTTTGAATAACTCCTTTCCATGCAAGCCACTTGTTAACGATAAAAACTAGATCAACAAGTTCCTCTCACATAGTTAGGATTTTCATCTCCTAAAATCAATCGTTTTGATGCTCAAATTGGCGCAAGATGGGAAATGAACTATCTGGGAGGGAGATATTTGAATTTTGCATGGTTTCCTTCTCTTAACTAGGAGTACTTATAGATTTCTCTCAAGATTTTGGGACAATTCGATCATTTAAGGAAATTTGACAGATGATGGCCTCTTATTGGCTAGCTTGTAATTGATTCTGTTATAATATCACGTTTTATTTATTGGCTTACGCGTCTTGCATTTATTAGCTTTGAAATCAAGCTTTACCACTCACCTACGTGCACTTTAATAACGATTTTTAGCTAGCCCGGTTAGAGGAATGACTCGTTTATGTTTTCTGCAAAAACCTTTATTTACCTCGCGTACTACTTATGTGTCGGAAGAATAGGTGAAGTTCACAGAGCTTATTCCTTAGTTTAACAAATAGTTCTTGAATTTCGATTTATTATTTATATTAAATCCAGGACTTAATTGTACAATTGCTATGGACCGCAAACTTATTTTTGATGGCTTTACCTGATCATACTTTTTTCCTACTTTTTTCACTTGCAATTCATGCTTGAGTTAGATGGAAAGCTTTTAAATCACACGACTTTAGGAAATCCATTCCATGCATACGTTATGTATGCTTGCTTATGGCCATTTGTTTGTATGTCTTTTCGTATTCAGCGGCTGAGATTTAGTGTCATTTCAGATGATGAGTTCGGTAGATTTCAATGATTGGGATAGGCTCTTCTTGACACTATATATATGTGTCATGCTATTGCTTGTCTATATTCTTCCTTATTGTAAAAGATGTGTCTTGATATTCTCTTCATTGCCGATTCTATGGGGAAACATTTTATTTCTACCAAAATCCTTTTAAGTGTTCTTATTGGTTCTTTATCTTTATTGATTCTGCTATATTTTCCAAACGAACCTTCTTTAGTTTTCATGCCAATATTTTCTATAATTGAACAAGATCTTGAAATTATCCTAATTTCTCTCTTGTCATGCAATGGTTGCATATCTACGATTTTGATTCTAGTGCATATAATTCAACAGCTGACAGAGAATGATTTAGAAGCTGGAGTTTCTTTTTTCTTTTTCCTTTTTCCTTTTTTTTTTTTCATGCTTATGCATTTTCCACATATATGCATCCACAAGTGATCACTGTGGCATAATTCCAGGTACAGTGATAAGCTCTTATTCATTTCCTTCTTGACAAATGCCTAGTCAACTTCTAGAGGTTGCTTTAGATAAAAGATCAACCTCATTTTCTGGTTCAAGAGATTCTTGTATATCAGAATAACGGATGTGTCGAGTAATTTAGTTCGCAGAATATGCCTTTTGGTTAGGTTACTCTTGTATATAATAGATTTAGTTTGCAATTGTTACTCGCCTTATAACCTTTCTTTATATGATTATATCAATGAGAATTTTCATTCATCATACTCTACTTAGCAACCGTTATGAAGCATCATTTGAGCTTGTACAATAAGAATTTAAATAACCAATCGACTTTGTTAACTTCGCACAACAAGAATTCAACCAACTTGGCCAAGTTCGTATATAATAAAAGAGAAATTAACTTTGTTGAGTTTGCTCGATAAGAATTTGTTCACCATTTTATTGATAATATTTTCTCAAGTAAATTTAATTTCAGGGATATTTAAGGGGTTCGCCATCCTTACTCACGTGTTTATATAGTTCCTAATACTACAACTTCAATTATTGTATATGGTGTGGAAACCGGATCCTATCAAATAAAGATGGGAACCAAATTGATTGTAGAATAATTACGTTCCATAATTGGTGTGATAAGTATTGATTTCTTTCTTATTTAGGAGAGTAGATTTTCTTCCTTATTTGCCAACTCTTGTACACTATAAATTGTAAACCCTTTCATTGTATAATTAATTATGAAATAAAAGCACAATTCATATTTCATAATGGTATCAGAGCCAGCCCAGTTTTAACCTAACCAATACATGGCTGAATCGGCTCCTCACAACAGGAGCTTCATGACTTCTAGACTCAGATGTAGAAGCCACGTCTGCCATGAACACAAGGAGAATTGAAAACTCAGCCTTCCAACTCTCAATTGAGAAACTGAATGGGAAGAATTACAAAGAATGGGCACAGTCGATAAAGCTAATAATCGACGGAAAAGGGAAACTTGGATAATTACTGGAGAAACCAAGGTGCCGGCCTCAACCAACACGGATCTCCTTCAGAAGTAGGAGTCGGAGAACTTGATGGCGACTGCCTAGCTTGTCAATTCCATGAAGCCGAACATCGAAAAATCATATTTATTTCTCCCAACTGCAAAAGAGGTTTGGGAAGCAGTTAAAGAAATGTATTCAGTCACAAAGAATTTTTCTAGAATTTTCGAAATCAAATCGAAGTTATGGCAGACAAAGCAAGGAGATCGAGATGTGATGGATTATTACGTGGGGATGAACGAATTATGGCAAGAATTAGACATGAGTACCGAGGAAGAATGGAAGTGTGCAGAAGATAGCGTGCGGTATACAAAAAAATTGGAAACTGAAAGGGTGTTCGAGTTTCTAGCAGGTCTTCATCTCGACCTAGATGATGTTCGTGGTCGAATACTTGGCCGGCGTCCTCTTCCATTGCCACGTGAAGTGTTTTCAACGGTGAGAAAAGAAGAAGACCGGCGGAAAGTCATGTTGAGCGAGTCTAGTGCGCCGGCACTAGAAGTGTCGGATCTCTGACAAGCTTGGGCCATTTGGATATGGCTTAAAGAATAAAGATAGCAACAGGGCTACTGTTGGGACAACTAATGGGACCAAATAACTTAAATGATAGAATTTAGACGATGG